GAGGTGGTCATAGGTATAAAAGTGCATGATGAAGTCTGCGTCAATATGAAATTAGAGAAAGGTTGTACTATTTTCAGTGAAACTGTCATGTGTGGTAAAAAGAATAAAAAATAATTAGGAATTATTACATTCCTAGAATGATCATCTAATCAAATAAAGTAATGGAGAACATTATTATTGAATGTGTTTCCTTTTAAACAGATGTTGCATGAACTTGTACAATGCTTAAGTTAATCTTATTTTGGAGTCTGCACATGATATATTTGCAAGATTTTACATTGACTTGACATTTACATTATAAATTGATCAGGCCGTTGCTTATATAGTGAGGATTATTTAGGTCTGTATTGGTGAAAGAACCAAATATTGTTGAAGTGAATACCTAAACCAGATTGTCTTCTGCTTTTGCTTACCAGATACCAACATTTGTAGCATACAAACTCCTTGGTTTTGTTAAAGGATTTATGTCACTTGGTTCAGAGGTATTCTTTCCACCAGATATATGTTATATCCTTGTAAGCAAATACAAAGCATCTGTAAGAGTTGGTGTGATAAGTTGGTCTCACTAGTATCAAAATAATGTTCAACAGGGACCTGAAGATGATGAAAAGTCGAGAAAAAACAGAGAGAAGATGGAGAGGAAAGCTTCAAAACCCAAATTTGTACAGACAAGAAATTGATTGTGCACACAGACAAGAAATTGATTGTGCACTTCTGAAATGATAGACTAGCTCTTGGTTAGATCTTAATGTCTCTCGAGTATGACAGATTGCTCTGTTATCTCCAAGTAATGTGAAATCAAGTTCGGCTGTCTGGTTTTGGATGGGAAGAACTTTAATGTGCTTGTCATTTTGGATGGGAGGAACTTTATGTTCTTGTCATGGATGCGTATTCTCGATCTAATGTGTTTTCATTGCCATCTTTAAGTATTTTTATCGATGTACTTAATTTTCCTGAACTACATGAATCTTTTTAGTTTATCCTAATGTCGTGTTTGATCTCAGAATTATGGAGAGATTTATTGATAGAAATAAAAAGGATTTGTTGAAAAATGATAACGTTTTTAATTTTTCCATCATTTTTTTCCCCAAAAATTTAAAATCTGAAAACCCAAAATGAAAAGGGAAGAATGAAAACATACCAAATTGCTCCTCAACATCATATGAGGAATTCTAATTCCTATTTTGAGGAAGTTATGAAATCAAACTCTATATGTCATTCAACGGCTAACCAGAAGCACAAAACAAATAGTGGATGATCGACTGCATCACATATTTAAAATTTTATTCAAAAATATCAATGCATGGTCTAGTTTTAATCTATACATGAGTGTCATGATACATTATTTTGAATCTCAACCCTTCACTTTTAAAAGGAATGGGTGCTCATGAAGTTCCCAATCCCAGTAAATTAAAAGGCTCATCAACAAACCATCAAAAAATAAAATAAAATTTTCCAACAAGCCATAATCAATAAAATTCATGTTGTATTTGTATAATGTTCCATTCATGAAACCCATGAGCAAATTGCTAGTATATATATATATATATATATGAAAAAATAAACAGAAAACAGAGAAATTTCTAAGGTTTTTGGTTTGTCTAATCAAAGTGTAATTCATTCTGGATCAATCAAGACAAAGATTTTTCTTAATTGCTGAATTGGAATTGTCTTAGGAAACATCACGATTTAATAAAGGCTAGTAATAATCTGTATTACAATATTTGTATTCTTTTCGGGTTTTGGCTCTGAGGGCAACTAGAGTCTAACAAGTAAAAAACATTCATAAAAATTTGGAAAAACTACATGAGACTACAATCCTATAAAGCTCCAAGGTATACAAATTCTTTTCCTCAAACCAAAATACCATCGTCTGGCTTACTGTAAGCATATCCACCATCTGCTCCATCTAGTAAATAAAGATATGAATCTCCTTAATTTGACTAACCAAATGGCCTTTGATCGAGTCGAGTAGAGAAGAAGGATTCATGTAGCTGATGCCATTTGATGGGACTAAAGGTTTGGTTTTGTTTGGTTTATTTTCTTCTGACTAGCTGTATGTACTCAGGATAAGAAGGTTTTGAAAAGTCACTAATAATAATAAAATATTGACAGGCAATTGCGGTAGAAGATATTAATGCCACAAGGAACCCATTATTGAAATCAATGGAATTGAGAAGCTAATGTTCTTGTTAAAAATAAAAATAAATAAATAGCAGATTTGAAACTAGAATTTCATTGATGAAGTCCATTGGAAAGAGAGAGTTCTAAGTTTTTTGCTTTTACTGTATATTCTAGAAGGGATAGGTGTTTAGAGAGGCTAGTTGGAATTTAAGGATTGCTTATTACAACATCCTAATGGAAGAAATGTGGAAGTGCAAGATTAGACTCTCTTGCTTCCTTTTGTGATAACAATATAGATATAGATACTATGTGTATATTCCTTACTGGGGGTAGCAAGGCCTATATTGTAGAACAATTACTTCAGAAATGTATCAAACTCATGTTTTATGCCATGGTAATGTATAGTAATATACTTGCACACACACACGTCCCCATGAATGTCCATCATACAATATTTTAGCCGCTTGAAGAAAATACAAACTGATAGCTATGGCATGGTGCATACCTAGGGATGTTCGAGGAAAAAAAGAAAAAAAAATGGTTTTTCTATTCAAACCGATGGAATCAAATTCTGATGGTAGTTTGGCCACCTTACTTGTGCCGCACTTGGTACTTTTTTCCCTATCATTTACGATGTAGTCATGAAGTCATTTCCCCATTTCTTGTCACTCTTCTTCCTTGCAAGATACAAATTTCACAGGAAACACTTGCTATCGTTCTAGTATACTATTCTATTTGAGGATACTTCTGCAAATAATTTTGATAACATATTTTTTTACCATGTGATGTGTCAATACTTCATTGGTTTAATGAGTTCCACCACTCATCTTTGTTATCAATGCAGTGGTGACACGTGACATGGTAAATAAAATATGGTAAGAAAAAGTGGTCATTATAATGTTATTGCAGAAGTATCCTCAAACAGAACAATTGTTTGTTTATAGTGCAGTAGTGACGCATGAGATGATAAACATAATATGGTAAGAAAATATGGTCATCATAGTATTATTGTACTTCTTCACAGCTAACATAGATTTCATATTACTTGGAGGCAGAGTTGTAAGATGAAGAAATCTAGTCTAGTTGCTTAAGATCATTGATACATAAATTAGCTGAGCTAAGTTCCACTGTGAAGTTGGTTGATTTTTTAGTAAAGCTCGAATGTAACTTGATAAGTTTTTGGTAATTGGAGTTTTATGTGAAACCAAAGAACCAGTTCAATTGAGAGCCATACAATTGTGCTAAATATTGAATTGGTTTGCAAGTGTGAATGAATTTTATGTCGGTTTTTCTTTATCCAAAGAAACCATGCCATCGACTTCAATCCAAAAAGCCCTACGTGGAATACTTATACCTTTTCTTTTCTTTTCTTTTCTACTTTTTCCTCCTTTTTCAAAGATGCTCGTGAACTTGTTATAGTATTTGGGTCCAAGATAAACCATTTTGCAAACTTCTATAAAAAATTGAAAAAAAAAGAAAAAAAGTCCATGCTACAGGATAAACTAAGCTACCGCTGCATTCAAGAAATTATTGAACCAAGCTCAACAATTTATTTCTTGACCTGCCTACAAAACTTCTCCCTGCTTGTTCACAACCCTAGTCAGCCTGTCTGGATTTGACAATCGCCATGTCAAAAGGTGGGCATGCAAGAAGGCACTTGTGAAAGATGGTCATTGTTTCGAAGCAATAGAACTTGTTGTGCTACCAGGGGAATCTTTCTATAATAAATTTAAAAGTCGAGGCAAGAGATCTTTAATTTGAAATTCTCATTTTTATATTGATTGCAATGATTTTCTACCTTTCGTCTTCTTCTTCTTCTTTTTTTTTTTTTTTTTTTTTTTTTTTTTTTTTTTTTTTTTTTTTTTTTTTTTTTTACCTTCTTTTTATTGGATGTCAAGTTGGAATGCCCACCTGGATGTTTTCAAACTCAGTTAAGAACAGTGATGACATTTAAGTATGCTGCTTTACAAGTATACATTTACAGGTCTATGCTGCTTTATTTTATTTATTTGTTTGTTTATTTTTGCTGATAAGTATATCTATAGGCCTATGCTTGGGGAATCTAATTGGACTGCTGATTTGTTTGTTGATATTTCTTGATAAATAGATGTTTAAATTATGGACTTATTGTTCTTGTTTTGATACTATTTCATAGATAATGGTTAAACCGTGAGTTTTTAATATTTGACGTGGTTTGGCCAATACTGACCTACATCCACACACAAAGCCTTAGAAGGATACATCTTTCATTCACTCGACTTTAATACTCTTGTTTACATGATACACCATATGTATAGAGTGAGAGATACAATCAAATCCCTTTAATTAAGAAGTTGAAATAAATTAAAAATACAAAAAATCATAGTAAGCACAAATATGAGATCTGTATGTATTCTGATATCTTCCTTATCTTCTCATATCTTTGACAATATAATTTTTTTCTCTAATAAAAATGGCATTGTATGTTTACGATAGTTATCCTTTGAATTGTTTGTGTTGTTTCTTTAAATTCTCGGGCTGAAACTTTGTTTCTTATATTTTATTTTTCTTAAATTTCTTTTTCATTTTTATAAGAGAGAAAAGAAACAGTTTTTAATTCTTTCAATTCAATATCTGTTGCAATTGCTGTTTCTTCTACTATTGCTTTCTTTTGTTCGTTCAGTCCACAGGTTGTTTGTCATGGCATTTGTTGGTTTCCTGTCTGAGATTGTTTCTAATTTTTTTGGGTATGTGACTTATCTCAGGGAAAAAATGAGGACACAATAAAGGAATGCTGAAAAGCGTTAGAACTGAATTCTAATTATGTGAAAGCTCTACATAGAAGAGGAGAGGCTCATGAAAAACTTGAACACTTTGAAGAGGCTATTGCTGGTAAATTTAAATTCAATACTTGTGCACTATTATCAATATTTAAATTTTAAATGATAGCTGTTTGCAGGTTGCCTTCACTTTAAATCTGACATTTACAGTATCATTTAAGTTTGCAGGTTGAAGAGGAATAAACCTTGAAACCACAACGATGAGTGCAAATACTATGAAAAGGAATGAAAATTTGATGGGGTCATTTTTTGCATAAAACTGTAGAAAAATAAAATGGACTAAAGAGGTTATTGTCTGAACGAGGACAAAAGCAAAAGAATAACATCCAAAGGCGACAAATGATCGAAGACTATATGTCATGACTCTTCTTGCCACAGTATTTTCACTCCTAGGACTAATCCTGGCACTACTTGAGATGATACAAAAAGCACTAAGTTCCAGAAGATGGATGAATTGTAGATTTCTATGGATTAATGTTGCTTTTGCCCTAGTTCAGACAATAACCTCTTTTGTCCATTTTATTTTTCTACAGTTTTATGCAAAAAATGACCCCATCAAATTTTCATTCCTTCCTATAGTATTTGCACTCATCGTTGTGGTTTCAAGGTTTATTCTTCATCACACCGACACCAATGAAGCCCATTTTTCCCATGGCAATCGAACTCATAATGTTGTTGAAGAGAAAGTTGATGGAGAGAACCATGATCAACTACACATCAATGCATGAACTTTGCTAAAGAAGCTCTCAGTTCATTTGCCTGACATCTTTACGCTGGGATCCATTTGCCTGACAAGATTTAATGCAAGATTAAAATCCCAACAATTTATCTTGTATTTATGGGATTTAATGTAAATAAATTTAATGATTAAATTCACAAAAATTCTATAACTATTATTTCATAACGGGTATTATTTCAACAGTTCATTCGTTTCCTTCATCTTATTGTATTTTTTATTTTTTATTTTAACAAGACCCTTATTAAAAAAGGAATAACGTTTCAGGATAAAAAACACTACAAATATTTATTCAGGGATAGCAGTGCCTTCTAAGCCAATGAACCGGGCAAACTGGAGGGGCTTTGAACCCTCATCACTAACATGGGAAGCATACCCATTTTCAAAGTTCTATTGGACTTTATTCTTGATACTCAAACACTGAAGTAAACAAAATTGAGCTTCATCCCAACAATTTGATTTGGGTATTGAATTTTAAGGAGAAGACGAATTTGAGGTTTGAACCCACTCAAGCTAGAAGTGACTTACTGAACAATCCAAAATAGTCCGCAGCACCAAGTGGTTTGTCACACAGTTCTTCAAAAGGAAAATATGCGCATCTGTTAGCACCCAATGGAACCTGACAGTGGAAGAAAAATAAAATAAAACAACTACTCTCTCTGTCTTATGACTTAATAAACCAAAGGTCACACACTGATTGTTGGTGAAGATTTTATTTATAATTTTACAAATTGTAATATTTATGTTTATTTGTTTTTTCTTCTTTAGGCTAAATAGAAATTTTATTAATATTTAGTATTCTAAATGTTGAAACTTTTGCTTAAGAAGGCCAGTTAACTCTTTTAATACTCTTGTTTACATGATACACCATATGTATAGAGTACGAGATACAATCAAATCCTTTTAATTAAGGAATTGAAATAAATCAAAGATACAAATAATCATAGTCTGCACAAATATAGGATCTCTATATATTCTGATATCTTCCATATCTTCTGATATCTTTGACAATATAATTTTTTCTCCAATAAAAATGGCATTGTATGTTTACAATAGTTATCCTTTGAATTGTTTGTGTTGTTCCTTTAAATTCTGGGGCTGAAACTTTGTTTCCTATATTTTATTTTTCTTAAATTTTTTTTTTTTTTATAAGAGAGAGAAGAAACAGCTTTTAATTCTTTGAATTCCATCTGTTGCAATTGCTGTTTCTTCTACTATCGCTTTCTTTTGTTTGTTCAGTCCAGGTTGTTTGTCAGGGCATTTGTTGGTTTCCTGGCTGAGATTGTTTCTAATTTTTTTGGGTGTGTGACATATCTCAGGGAAAAAATGAGGACACAATAAAGGAATGCACAAAAGCATTAGAACTGAATCCTAATTATGTGAAAGCTCTACGTAGAAGAGGAGAGGCTCATGAAAAACTTGAACACTGTGACTTATCTCAGGGAAAAAATGAGGACACAATAAAGGAATGCTGAAAAGCATTAGAACTGAATTCTAATTATGTGAAAGCTCTACATAGAAGAGGAGAGGCTCATGAAAAACTTGAACACTTTGAAGAGGCTATTGCTGGTAAATTTAAATTCAATACTTGTGCACTATTATCAATATTTAAATTTTAAATGATAGCTGTCTGCAGGTTGCCTTCACTTTAAATCTGACATTTACAGTATCATTTAAGTCTGCAGGTTGAAGAGGAATAAACCTTGAAACCACAACGATGAGTGCAAATACTATGGAAAGGAATGAAAATTTGATGGGGTCATTTTTTGCATAAAACTGTAGAAAAATAAAATGGACTAAAGAGGTTATTGTCTGAACAAGGACAAAAACAAAAGAATAACATCCAAAGGCGACAAATGATCGAAGACTATATGTCATGACTCTTCTTGCCACAGTATTTTCACTCCTAGGACTAATCCTGGCACTACTTGAGATGATACAAAAAGCACTAAGTTCCAGAAGATGGATGAATTGTAGATTTCTATGGATTAATGTTGCTTTTGCCCTAGTTAAGACAATAACCTCTTTTGTCCATTTTATTTTTCTACAGTTTTATGCAAAAAATGACCCCATCAAATTTTCATTCCTTCCTATAGTATTTGCATTCATCGTTGTGGTTTCAAGGTTTATTCTTCATCACACCGACACCATTGAAGCCCATTTTTCCCATGGCAATCGAACTCATAATGTTGTTGAAGAGAAAGTTGATGGAGAGAACCATGATCAACTACACATCAATGCATGAACTTTGCTAAAGAAGCTCTCAGTTCATTTGCCTGACATCTTTACGCTGGGATCCATTTGCCTGACAAGATTTAATGCAAGATTAAAATCCCAACAATTTATCTTGTATTTATGGGATTTAATGTAAATAAATTTAATGATTAAATTCACAAAAATTCTATAACTATTATTTCATAACGGGTATTATTTCAACAGTTCATTCGTTTCCTTCATCTTATTGTATTTTTTATTTTTTATTTTAAGCAAGAGCCCATCCTAGGCAAGGCCCTTTAGACCCACTTCGAGAAGGTAAAGTTGAGGTTCAAAGGCCACCTTCTAAGCCAATGAACCGGGCAAACTGGAGGGGCTTTGAACCCTCATCACTAACATGGGAAGCATACCCATTTTCAAAGTTCTATTGGACTTTATTCTTGATACTCAAACACTGAAGTAAACAAAATAGAGCTTCATCCCAACAATTTGATTTGGGTATTGAATTTTAAGGAGAAGACGAATTTGAGGTTTGAACCCACTCAAGCTAGAAGTGACTTACTGAACAATCCAAAATAGTCCGCAGCACCAAGTGGTTTGTCACACAGTTCTTCAAAAGGAAAATATGCGCATCTGTTAGCACCCAATGGAACCTGACAGTGGAAGAAAAATAAAATAAAACAACTACTCTCTCTGTCTTATGACTTAATAAACCAAAGGTCACACACTGATTGTTGGTGAAGATTTTATTTATAATTTTACAAATTGTAATATTTATGTTTATTTGTTTTTTCTTCTTTAGGCTAAATAGAAATTTTATTAATATTTAGTATTCTAAATGTTGAAACTTTTGCTTAAGAAGGCCAGTTAACTCTTTCCCAACAAAGTAGAAACCTTGCTCAGCCTAAAGTTCAAGTGAAATATAACAAGAAGAATTTATATGAGAAGAAATTACAAGGTGAAATTCAAACATGATGTTTTAACGAGTAAAAGAGAAAAAAAGAAAAAAGAAAAAAAAAGATAATAACGTCACCAAAGTCATTTTCCGGTAATCTGTTGATGATCCAATCTCAAGAGCTACACATCTTTCCTACATCAAAATAAATTTCCAAGCTTAACTAAGTATAAAGTAAAATAAAAAAAATTCAACGAAGACATGGTCAATGAGGCCATAAGTTTCTCATCTACAGGCAATACCTTCAACGTGGAAATGAATGGTAGAAAAAGATCTCTCTGCAATCCACCTTCATAAAGGTTGTCTGGAGCACGATTTGAAGTATCAACAAGAATCTATACTTGCAGACATATACAAGTTTTATTTCTCAGTCCAAAATCCATATGTCGAATGCATAGAGCCTAGAGGTTGAGAACATATAAAAATTAGTAGATTAAACTACTTACAACGTCATTGCTGAATAAATGTCCAAATAAACGGTTTAATATCAATGCATCAGCCACATCAGCCACCTATGAAAAAAACATAGAAAAATGGAACTTAACAACAGGAATAGAGTAAAAGGCTCTAAGAAGCACGGACACTTCTAGGAAGGTGACGTATCCGTGTCGGGTACGTGTCGGACACCGACACTCTTTGGACACTCTCAGGACACGTGTCCGACACTCTTCAAAACGTGTCCTATTGTTTAAAGACTTGGACACTCTTTGGACACTTGAAGGACACACGTGTCAATCGTTTAAACACACGTGTCTAACGATTAGACATACGTAAAACTAATTATAAGTTTGAACAAAATAATTTAAGATACAATAATAAAATAAAAACCATATAAATTTATAAGAATTAGTGTCATATTGCATTTTTTATTATCTTTGAATGATATATTCATATATATATAACATATAAAATTATATATTTCATGCGTGTCCTCATCGTGTCGTGTCCTACATTTTTTGAAAATTAACGTGTCGATGTGTCCGTGTCGTACTTGTGTCGTGTCACGTGTCCGTGTCCATACTTCTTAGAAAAGGCTAGTAGATACCATCCATGATGATAAAAAACAGAAATGATGCCGCTATTTTCAAGTTCCGACATACCATAAATTTGTTGACGCATAACAAAATTGATTCATCAGATATCTCCCCTGCTACAAATTCAAGGGGATCCGGCACACCCTTATGCTTCTGTAATTATACAATACTATAGCATTAAGGCCTCGTTTGGGAACAGGCTAATTTAGTAACTTTTTAGCTATTTGGCTAAAAAGATAGGTAAAAAAAACTTGTATGTTTGGGATGACTTTTTAGCTAATTACGAAAAGATGTGCAAAAAGTAGAGAGAAAAGAGAATCTTTGACTTTTTGGTATGGGTTGTTGGCTTTTTGGCTAATTTAGTAACTTTTTGGCTAATTGGCTAAAATAGCCTCTTGCCAAACGAGGCCTAAATTTATACTTCAGTACACACCACCTATTTCTAGGTGAAGTCGCCAAGAAGAAGATGAAAATTAGTCCAAAAGAAGATATTTTTGACTAAATTTGAAAGTACTTTTCAGTATAGAGCCATAGTCCATGAACTCTAAAATTTAGCTATCTTGACCACCGATTCAATGAAATGAACGGCTAAAGAAGAAGATCATATATCCAAGATTTTTGTGGTATGACATTTAGATAGCAACTCATCTTGGAGATGCTCACTGGCTCATTAAAAACTCTGACCTAATTGTTAGTACTAGTGTCAATTACTTGTGGTTGTGGTGCAAATGACAAGCGGCAAACAAAATAGTCAATTTGTAACAAACTTTCTATCTTGTTTGCAGTTAGAAGAAATATGGATAATTCTTACTTGCAAGTGGCTATCCAACATGAAATCATGAAAATGAATCCTCTTTTTCCTCCAGTTGCTAGGCCTGAAAGTATAAATACAAATTACGAGGAAAAAAAACAGTGAATAATAATTGCTTAGTATTCCCTCGGCATTATGCTTATGATTTGCAATTGATGGTGGGCAGCTCATGTTCTCATATTCAAGTCAATTTCAAGGTCACCTATAAGGCAAATTAATTATGCACATCAAACATACAATTGATCAAAAAACAAGTCCATCAGCATGGGTTTTCCTGTGTCTACTCCTCCATAGAGATAGAGTCCTTTCACAGGTGAGTATGAAGGCTGAGGAATGAAACGGGACCACAACCACCTACTCCTAAAAATAAAAGAAACAGTGAATCAATGACAATGAAGTTATAAACTCTATTAAAAATTGACAACTGCAGTTCATAAAATATATATATATATATAGTAAAACTCAAACAACAAGATCATGATATGCCTTATGAGCAAGTGACTCGGGAATCAGGAAACCAAATGAACAATTACCTGCCAGCTTTCTCAGAAGCTGCATACCGATCTAACCGGCATGCTTCAGTTGGCTTGGAAAGTTCATCATAGTCTCTGAAGTTCTCTTATGGTGCCTACCTACACAATCACCCAATGCATTTTAACCCCTCACGAAGCAAGGTGTATCTTTCAAGGCATCAAGGTGTAAGCATTTTTTAATTTTAAATTTTTATATAGTACATATAGAAAATATTTTACAATAGTGTAAAAATATATGTATTATTGATTGATATCTTGTTATATGTGTCTGCCTCTTCTTCATGGTCT